TGTGGAGTTGTCCCAATTATTTTATGATTACGTCAAATATAAGTAGACACATGTATATATATATATATATAGTATATATATATATACATATACATTTCGCATATATATATATAGAGAGTATGTATTAAATACGTTAAAAAATATAATACACCATACATATAATATAAGAGTTAAGGTTTTCCATGCACTATATGCTATTTGTTTTCTTTCTTTAGTATATACTGTAGTATATAGTAAGTATCTAGCGTTATTTATGTATATATTCCATTTAATTCTTGTTGTTCTTGTTGTTCTTGTTGTTGTTGATGTTGTTGATATTTGAGAATTCAACTAAAGGTCAAATAAAATGCATCAAATCAAGTTTTGACTCAATTTGAAATCAAATCAAACAGCTTTTCATGGGGCTTCTTACAACGCTTTGGGGCGTTAGATATATCGTTTCATATTATAGATATCCTTTTTTAGTTTATCATATTATTATTATAGTTATTGTTGTTATTATTAATTTCAGTTAATGCTTACCGTTTCTATTTCAATGTGTATTTATCTATAATTTAAATATTTCTCATACTGTTGCTTGATTTGCTTGAAGTTTTACGTTTGTTTCTTGATTTCTTTGATGCTTTTACGATGGTTGTTCACTTAAAAACTATTATCACTATTGCAGAAAGCGAAAGCGGCTGTACTCAATAATACGAGTGTATCTCCCCATATGGAAGGGTATAGAAGTGTATCCAGAAAGCACACCCTGTATTCCTTTCCCTGATACTCTACTATACGAGTCCATATCATACACTGTAGTTGTTATTTTATTGTTGTTGTTGTTGTTGTTGTTGTAGGCATTTACTATGAATTCGTTTTGATTTTGTTGTTTGCTTTGGTTGTTGTCCAGAAATGTGATAATTTTTGGAAATTTGTTTTGTTTTTTTTTTTTTTGTCGGAAAACATTATCTTTGAATATTATACTGAAACATTTGTTTTTATCATAATTTTTATGTTAAGGATTGAGTTTTTTTTTGTTTGTTTTTATTATAATTTCTCGTTTTAATTTTAAGAAGAAAGGATTTTCTCGAGTTGTTTTGCTTGTCAAGTCGTTTCGAAAAGCAGCTTTCGAATTTTACATTTTCATATCTTAAGATTTTTTGATTTGCCAAGTTGGTAATTTTTTATGTGGTTCTTTGTTCATATCCATGCCTTTGGGTGTGTTCGAGTGTATTGGTGTGTGTGTGTTTGTTTGGGTTATATGTCGTTACATATTTGTTTAGTGGATGCTTTATTGAGACTGCAATTAAAATTTCTGCTATAAAAATTACTTGTATTTGTACTCTTGGTTATTTAAATTGGGCTATTGTTGGTTGTTAGGTATGCTTGTAACTTTGTGTGTAGAACTCTGATCTATAACTTTAACTATTAATTCAGGGTTCTCTCTATATATGATTCGAGGACTGGTTCACCTATATGGCTTAAACTACGTATTTTGTTAGCCCCTTTGTCTGTCCAGGCTGTTTTGTCGTGTCTCAAGTTTTACTTTTAAGATATCTTCTCACAGTAGACGCGTCTACTCGTCTTCTAGGTTTTGTCATAGCCGGTTTACTTTCGTTTTGATTTCCTTTTTTCCCTAAATTTGAGCTCTTAATTCAATATTTATATTCAACTTCCACTGAAGCAGCAAATTTTTGGAGCTTTCTATGCGATTTTCACATGATTCCTTCTCTATGAAATTTTGTTTGCAACTACAAAAAGAATAATTATCATGGAAACTAAAAAACGGGAATTAAGAGTGTGAAAAACCAAATAAATTATAAACTTAAATAGCAGATTTTTGTCTGCTTGCAATATTCAATGGAGCTTTTTGGAAAATTTTGGTTAGTTTTTTTATGCTATGATGTTGTTTTCTTATTTTGTTTTGGTTTTTAATCAATTTTTAGCGCCTAAATTTATGTTTTTGTTTACTTTTGATTAAGTGTATGTGTTTAATTTTGTTGTTATGCCTAAAAATTTACAAAAGTTTTATGTAATTATTTAATTTTTATCGTACGTTTCGTTTTGTATTTGTTTTTTTTTTTTTTTGTTTTTGCATTTATCACAGCGACATTCAGTCTAAATTTTGCTTTTATTGGAATTATAGCATAATTTGCCATAATTGATATAAATATTTATAGTAGATATTCATTTTAGTTAACTAAAACTAAACATAATTTTGATTTAAAGCCAAAAGGTGTTTGTTTTGTGTTCGTTCGTTCGTTTTTGTTTTGTTTTTTCGATTTTCGTTTAAAGCCAAAAATAATTGTTAAAAATTTCGTCTAAAAAGGCCTAAAAGTATATAGCTTAGTGTTAATTTTGGTAATACTTATAGCAAATCATGCTGTTCTTGAATTAACTTGGTCTAATTCCAATAAAAGCCTTCATATTGGATACCATAGAAATGTATGTTGTTGTTCTTTTTGTTCTTTTGTTGTTGTTGTTGTTGTTGTTCTGTTTGCCACATGCAATTTGTTGTGTCTCAATGTGCCTAAAAAGTGTTTTAAAATTTTGACTAACCTTTTTTCACAGGTGTTTAATAAAATTTTTACAATGCCAAACAATTTCTCATCATTTTCTTTTCATTACTATTTTTAAACTATTTATAAAACTTTTGCACAGGTTTTCGATAAATTTGCTTGCCAAAAAGATGACTATTTACAATTTCATTAGCCCAATAATTGCCGAAAAGTGTTTGTATTAAACTGAGCCTATCACAAAAATCAGACGCCTTGCCCAAGCCGAAAAGTATATTTTGTTGTAATTGGTTGTTGTGTAAATGCCAAAAAAGGTTTCAAATGTTTCAAGAGTCAAAGGTTACTCCATAAACAGATTCGAAATTATATTATATAGGTATATATAATTATTTGTTGGTTTATTAAAAATGATTAAATAATAGATGCAAACATAATTTTAAAAACTAAAACAGTAAAAACAAATCAATTTCGCAATTTGATTTCGAATTGAAACTTAACATTAACATTAAGAAATAAAAATTGCATACATATATATATATATATATATATTAAATAATGAGTAGATTACTTGCAAATTGGGGATTGCTAAATTATAATTAATTTCTGTTCATTTGTTGTTATAGGAAACATATTCTATTAGATTAGTAACAATTATAAATGCTTTGACGGTACATTGGAAAATTTGATAAGAAACTAAATTTGTTGTTTTTTCATTTTTATATCCACACAGATAGAGATGGAGAAATACAGAATATCAGATTTGTGAACGTTTGGATAGTTCGTAGAAGTTCGAGTGTTTTCTTTTTTTGTTAAGTGCATCTCTGACTATTGTTTATTAATTTATGGCACCTGAAGAGTCACATCTGGATAACCTTTTGCTATTTGTATAAACATTTTGTGTGTCGGATTTGGTGGGTGGGGGATGGGTCGGGCTTTTGTCTATGTGTGGACATAATTGGACATATTTATATATTTATATGTGTATTGCTAATTACTAAAATAAAATAAAACTCAACATAAATTACACACAAACAATTAGGGAAGACAACAAATGTTTGTTTCCAATCAATTTACAACTTAAAATACAAATTGTTTAATTGCAAATTGCATGTTAGATTTTTGTTTTAATCTTTTTTTTTTTTTGCTGCTGTTGCTTTTTAATTATAATAAAAAAATCACATCTCAATCAATAAAAATAAGCAAAGTTTTCGCTAGCTTGTGATACGAGTAACTCCCAAGATAAACTAATAGGTATTTATGTGTACATAATTATAATAAACTATATAAATAAAATCCTTTATATTAATTCAATTCAGTTGTCCGAAGATCAATCAATCAAATGAATATTCCAATATTACAGGACAAGTGAAATTATATATTGTATATATAAATATATATAAATCATATAAGTTAGCTGCTGTCTTCTTGCCAAAAGATATTAACATAATTTGCTCAGCGCAACGTCAACGCCTTTAAACCCCCCAAACCCCCTTCCGCTAGCTGCCCCATACAAATCTCCCACTCCCACTCTCTCTATCTCTCGCTCTCGCTCTCCTTGTCGCACTCTCACCAACTATCCTAACAGTACGCCTAGAAATCGTATAACTCGTGTTGTGTGTTAATGAACCTCCTTTATAAATATGTTATATTTATATATGATAGTTTTTAAAAGTAAAGTGCCTAAAACGAAATTTTATAGAAAAAGGAATCGTATAACGTTGTGTTTTGGTTAATCTACGCAAAGTTCTTGAACCGAATGGTTCTTATTTTTTTTTTTACCATTTTGCATTTGATGTTTATGGTTGTGTGTGTGTGTGTGTGTGTGTCAAAGGAGTTTAGAGTCCTTTTCGAAAAGACTAGTACTCGTCTGTTCATGCTTCGTTCTGTGTCTGACCAAAACTGTGTTTTGACTCTTTTTTAAAAACTAGGAGAATTTCGTGTTTTCGCATTTTAAACTAGAGAACTTATCCAGAACTATCATGAAAACCTATTAAATAACGTGAATATTTTTTTTGTTTTATTTTCTGCCTCATTTTCACATCAATTTCGCAAATTTTCCGATTCTCCTGCGAAAACGTGCGGCTGGAAAATTCATTTCTTTTTTTTTTGTGTTTTTTGTTTTGTTTTTTTAGTTTTTTAGCATACTCAAAATGTGGGCGTGGCTGGAGCATTGTTTTTCCTTTTTTTTTGCTATGCTTTGTTGCTGCTGCTGCCGTTGGATGATGTGAAGAGCTGGTTTACTGATGACATCATAGAGATCCGAATATCGAGTGTATGTGTGGGTGTATGGGTATTGCATGCGACAGTGTGGCCGACGGCGGTGCGGGCGCAACGCCATTAGGCGTGGCCGCCAGCGCATGTCCTGCATGCGGATGCGGCGGATGCGCCGATGGCGGCGGCGGCGGCGGCAGCGTTATGGACAATGTCACCGTCTGCGGCGCTGCCACCGTCGAGGCGTGTGTGGATGTGGGCGGGGCTGTTGCGGCACCCGTTGCCGTGATATGATGCGCACTTGTCGGCGGCGCCGGCGGCGGGGGATGAAGCGTTGTTGTTGTTGCCGCCACCGATTGTTGTTGTTGTTGCTGCTGTTGTTGCTGCTGCTGCTGCTGCTGCTGCTGTTGTTGCGCTCCAGCTGCTCCAGTGGTGGGATGTCACTGGGCCACCACAGAGGTGGCCGCATTCTGTTGCACCACAACGCCCGGTGCCACCGCATTCGCCACGGTGACAGTTACGGGCGGGGTTGGGCCATTTGCATGTGCTGCGCTCGGCTGCTGCTGCTGCTGCTGCTGGGCATGGAAGGGATGCTGGAAGGGCGGGCCGTAGCACTGCGGAAAGTATAGCTCATTCTTGACCACCGATTGCTGAGCAACCGCTGCAGCGGCCGCCGCATTGGCCGCCATGCTGCGCACGGGCAATATGTTGGCCTTGTTGTCCACCGTGGCGGGATTGTTGTTGTTGAGGAACTGCTGCGCCACCAGGCTCTTGGCATCGTTCATCAGATGATTGGCGACCACAGCGGCCGATGCGGCCGCATTGTTCTGCTGCTGCTGCTGCTGTTGTTGTTGCTGCTGCTGCTGCACCTGTTGCTGCTGCTGCTGTTGCTGTTGTTGCTGCACCTGTTGCTGCTGCTGCTGCTGTTGCTGCTGGCGCCGCACCTTGGTGCTGTTGGGATTCATGTGGTTGTCAATGTGCTTTGTCACCTCATTCTCAGTGGCAAAGCGTCGCCGACAGTTGGGCATCGGGCAGCAGAATGGACGATCTCCCTGAGAAATCGAAGAAATTGAAATGAATTAAGACCTGTCTTCCATTTGCCGCTGGCGGGCGCATCTTGTGTGAGCTTCGGCTAGGCTACAACTACCTGGTGGGTGCGCGTATGCTGGTCCAGAATCGCCTTCTGTCTAAAGTCCTTGCCACACTGCCCGCACTTGTAGGGCTTCTCCCCGGTGTGAATGCGCAAGTGCTGTGGGAGAATAACAATCAGAACAGTTCCACATGACATACATCGAGAGGAGTTTCAAGTAGGCTTAGATTCCATGCTAAATGTATTTATATCCAAAGGTCTATCGATTCGGTTTGATTTTGATTTTCTGCCAATTGAAATCTCCTGAATTTCCACAGAGGGAGCGTGGATTCCCTTTGAACCCACCTGATTCAGAATGGTTCGCTGGCGGAAGAAGCGCGGACAGTACATGCAGCCGAAGGGCTTCTCGTTCGTATGGATCCTCAGATGCTGGGTGAGATGGGATTGCTGGCGGAAGCGCTTGCCGCACTCCGGACAGGGATACGGCCTGGATTCGATGTGTATGCAGCCGTGCTGGAGCAGCGTCGTCTTCTGCTTGAACTCCTTGTCGCAGATGGGACACCGCACGTAGAGCGGCATATTCGCGGGCCGTACGCCAATATGTTGCAGCACCTCGGGCAGTATCTTTTGACCTGCTAGAAGTTCCAATTAAAAGGCTGCGCACGGGGGGAGGAGTGGCCAGCTCGACTACTCACCCTTGCCATCCTTAAAGTAGGAGGGATAGTGCATGCCGCCGCTGCCATCGGGTGTGCCCTGAGAGTCATCGTCATGGTAGCCACCGCCGGCGACGGCAATGTCGCCCTTCGTGTCCGCCTCCTCGCCCGGAAAGGGCACGTCCGAGGGCCAGAGCGTCGGATGCGGTCCGTTCTTGAAAATGAGATGAGGCGAGACATCTGCAGGAGGGACGTGTTGTTCCGCAGCCGGGTGAATATGAAAGTAATCAAGCCAGAGAGTGCCACTGTTAGCAGCGCTTAAATTTGGCTCGTAGCCACTTTCGATCTTATCACATAGGTCGCCTAGCATCTTGTACTAAACTAGAGATGTACTAGCTTTTAATATTTGTTTTTTTTTCTTTTTTGTTTTTTTTTTGTTTTAATAATTTTGTTTTTGTTCTGTTCACTTTTGTAATGTTGTTGACTGTTTGAGACCCCCAAATGGAATGCTCTTTTTTAGTAATTTTTTTTTTTATTAATTTTCGTGTCATCTGCAAGCTTTCGTAATTTTCTGAGTGATATATCAAAGATTGCTTGGGTTTTATATATTTTTGGTTTGTTTAGAGTGTTTGGAGTTGTTAAACTCCGGAAGTCGGAAGATTCTGGTAAGCGTATAATAAATTGGTAAGCGAATCCTTTCGAATGCTTCAAATACATATCCTAACTCAAATTCCAGATATCCGTTAAGAATTATGATTATCCGTTTGGAACTTCAATTTATATTTAATTACTTTCTTTGCACATCTTTTCTGAAAAAGTTCCCATTTGTGTAACTATTTAAATTGAGGGTATTCCGCTGTCGATCCGCATCCTTTTCCTCTTCATCTATCGGACTAGCACTCCCTTTCGATCCACTTCCAATTTCTCCTCTTCTCTTTTCATTCCATTTTTAAGGGACCCTCAAAAAGCCAACAACTTGAATTTGGAATAATGTAAAAATAGGTTTAATAAAAAAAAAAAAGAGAAAACGTTCGAATTTCGGCCAAAACATCGCTCAATTTGTTTTTGTGTTTTAGAATTTTGCAAGGGATTTGCATTGCTGCAAACGCTGTTAGCCAAACGTTTGCGAATCTCACGATCCGCGCTAGCACTACGAGAGCGGGAGCTAGCAGCAAATGGGTCAAGTAGCTGGTTTGCCTTGCGGCCCTGACTATCGGGCGGATATCGCCCATTATCGTTATCGGTAATGGATGTGTTAACTGTCGCTCGCCTTGGTGGGTGCGCACATGCTGATTGAGGATGGCCTTCTGGCGAAAGTGCTTGCCGCACTCGGGGCAGGCGAAGGGCTTCTCACCCGAATGGATGCGTATGTGCTGGTTGAGTATGGCGCGCTGCCGGAAGCTGCGCGAGCAGTACGGGCAGGTGAATGGCTTTTCGTTCGCGTGGATGCGCAGGTGTTGCGTCAGGTGCGACTGCTGGCGGAACCGCTTGCCGCACTCGGAGCACGGAAATGGACGGGCGTCCGTGTGTATCCGATCGTGCTGCAGCAGCGTGCTCTTCTGCTTGAAGTCCTTGCCGCAGGTCAAGCATTTGAACAGCCGCAGATCGCTGTGCGGCTTGTTCTTGTGCGGGCGTCCCGGTCCCGTGCGTCCGCCCGGCGTCCCCGTGGCGCCCGCAGCGCCGGCCGCTACTCCATTGGGCGCCGCAGCGCCCTCATTGGCATTGCCATTCGCCGGGCCACCATTCTGGTTGCCGCCGTTCGGTGGTGCCCCATTCTGCTGTTGCTGCTGCTGCTGCTGCTGTTGCTGCTGTCCCGGCAGCAGCTCGGGCAGCGCATACGCCTCGCCCCCGTTCTGCTCCAGCTTGTTGAGATAGTGCAGCGGCGGAAAGCCAGGTGGCGCCAGCATGCCGCCCTGCGGCGCTCCATGGCGCGGCGCATAGTAGTCGGGCGTCTGGAAGCCATTGCTGGGATCACCTTGCGGCTGTCCACCGCCATTCTGCTGCACGTGCGGATTCCCCTGCCCAGCCTCGCCGCCGTTCGCCGGCGCGTGCTGCGGCTCGTTGCTGCTTTGGTTTGGATTTGGCGCGGAGTTCTGTTGGTTGGCAAGCTGCAAGTGGAGAGGCGCCCAAATTGCGATAGATTAGTGCACATATAATTGAGTTATTAGGGGTTTGGGCAATGAACTGTGATGAATGAAACTGTGATGCCAACAGACTACATGAAACATGACTATAATCAGGGCTGCAAATCGGGTTTGAGCCAACAACTCGGTTTGAACGAGGAATTCCAAATTATTTTTACCAAATCCTGGGTTCAACCAAATTCAAATACAGAGAGTTGGTTCGAATCGTAAGCTGAAGCAGCGATAATTTTGTTGTTGGGTTTTTTTTTTTAGTTTTTAGTCCTGATTATAGTTATTAATATTTGTAAGTGATGTATTTTTATATTTAAATTAAAAATTGTATTAAATTTGAATCGTGTTTTTAGGATGTCTGTGTCTTTGTGGATATGAGCATTGTGTTCCTTATTCAAGTAAAATTGATGCAGAACGATGAATGAATACATTTATGTTCAGCCTGAAGTGTACGTGAGGAGTAAATGAACGGGAATAACGATAATTATGCTGCAGTTGCAGTAAAGCGTGTATGCTCATCCTCATCCCTGCTCATCCCTGCTCATCCCTGCTCATCCCTGCTCACCTGATTCATGGCATCATCTTCGGCGTTGCCATTCGCTCGTTGCTGCTGCTGGACCGAAGGATACGGACTGGAGGATGGCGACACCTGCTGCTGGCGTCCGTCGCCGCTGCCATTGTCCCGTGGCTCCTGGCCGCCCGGCGGACTCTGCGGCTGGCCCGCCGCCGCCGCAGCTGCTGCTGCCTGCGCAGCGACTGTTGCGTTCTGTTGCTGCTGCTGCTGTTGCTGCTGCTGCTGTTGTTGCTGCTGCTGCTGCTGCTGTTGCTGGGCGCTGAGATGTTGCTGGGCCTGTTGCTGGATGTTTGGATACATGTCGCTGCCCCATTGGGCTGCACTGGCGCCGATGGCGCCGGCATTGCGTTCCGCGTCCTGCGAGTCCTTGTAGAGAACGTACGGCTGGCCCGTGTCCTGCGTGATGCAGTACATTATCTGGCGGGGAACCTTCAGGCCTGCCGCTATGCAGGCCGCAAAGGAGGCCGAGAAATTTATGGCCATTTTGTGGTAGTTCTTGTTCCGCTTTTACTTCTTCTTACTGTTTGGGTATATTTGTTGCTGTTGTTGTGGATAGTTCTAGGCAGCGTCCTTTTTGGCTGCACACCGATTATCCAGTGCTGCTCTTGCACTTAGTTTTAGCTCTTCGCTTCTTTGTCGTTGGCTTTTGTTTATTGACTCGTGTTGCACATTTTTGCAGTGTTTCTTTCTGTTCGGTTTTCAGTTTTATTTTATTATTTTGCTTATTTTACTGCTTTTTTGTTTGCTTCATTTGTTTCTTTTCAAGGCTCGCATTTTATTATCATTTGAAGTTCCTTTCTTCTTATTTAGTTCTGTCTTATTTAGTTTTGTTCAATTTGTTCTTTTTCTTCTTCTTGTTTTGATTGAAATTATATTAAAATTGTTGCTCTTTAGCCTTTGCTTCTTTTTTATCGACTTCAATGAGTACCCAAAAAACATGTCATTTTCACATGATTATTCGAAATAACTGACTGAAATGTAATTTCTTGCGCATTGGCTTTCAACAACTAACAGTTTTTACTCTTTCTGGTACAGCTGCAAGAAAGTCAAAATCAGCTATTTAAGACTTGTTAAGAAATTGAATTTCATTTAATGGTTTCATTAGATTTTTAGTTTTAAGACACGCCGAAATAAAAGTTTGGTTTTGGTCCCCTTGCTGTTTTTCCGTTGCCTGACTTGCTTGTAATTCCCAACTAGTTAAAGTATCACAAATATAAAGTTGTTGACAAAGCCAGAGTCAATAGCAAAGTCTGATGATCTTAGAACCGGTTTATTTTTCTTTGTTTAATATTACTTTAAAGATACAATTTAGTAAAAACTTATCTCATTAAAGCTTTAGCAAAATACATCTCTTTCCGAAATAAATTTGCATGCTTAACGCATTTCACTAACAACCAATAAAATGTTTAATTTTTAACTTCAAACAAACTTTTGTAAAATAAATGAAAAAACCTAGTGAAAAACAACAAAAATGCGACGCAAATTAAAAACAATGAAGATCATCAGCGGCTGATTGAGAGGAGTGGCGCACAAATGGATACCGCATGCCAAGCAGGCTGGCACAACTTCTCCCCCTCCCTTTCCATCTATCCCCCCTATAGAGCCCCTTCTAACCCACCCGGAGCCCGCTATTCGCATTAACGCTAACTCGTTGCTGCTCCCACACCCCCAATCGCAGGCGATTCGCCGCTGGCTGGCTGGCCACATGTTGTGCCTCCTTTTGTTGTCATGAGCTGCCTTTGGCTGGCTCTGGCTCTGGTTCTGGCTGTGTGTCTGCTTCCAACTCTGACTCTTGTGTCTTTTATCTTTTTGCAATGTTCTTTTTACTCTGTTTTTTTTTGCCATATTTTTCTTCTTTTTTTTTTGCTGCCTCACGACGACGTGCCAACTTTTTAATGCGGGATCAAGGTCTCGGCAGATACACAGATACAGACACACACACACACACGACGTCGCCGAGCGGGACGCCGCCCAGTTCGTGGCCTGTTGTCCTAAGCGAACAGATCCATTAACAATATACAAGTAAAGTGGCATAGAAACATGTGGCCATAGTTAAACATAGACATGAGCTGCCCAATTATTGGCTCTCATCGTTTGCCAATCTTTAGACAAGCAATAGACGAAACTTCAGCACAGCTGAGTAATTTGGCTTGAAGGAGCTTCAAAGTTTCTGATTAACTTGTTGAATCCATTTGACATTAGGTTGAAGTAGCAAGCAATTAGGTAATGGGATAATTAAAGTTCGGTAAAGGCAATTTTTTGCCAAAACACAAACTATAAAGATATAGTTAGCTATTTCACGAACCTGCCTGTCCTATAGAGCTGATGCTGATGCTATGCTATATCAGCTGATGATATGTGTGTAAATATGATATATCATGAGGCAAGTTTGCGTAGTAGATACTATTTTTGTTTTGTATCGATCCAAGAGCCATAAGAAAGTTACAATACATCTATTTGTTTTAAATTACACAGTTAGTTATTATTAGTTAATACTAGTTAGTATGACTAACAAATACAAACAACAAGTGTTGTTTTGTAATTACAATTTGAAATTCAAAAAACATTATATGTTTTCAGAGACATTTCTTTTCAAGTTGGCCGGCTCGAGATGAATCTTGATCAAAACCACCACCAACAAAAACAAAAAGGTATAAACAATAAGATCGAGTACTATTTCAAGCTACTTCAAGAACCTCCTGGTTTTATGAGCAGCAAACTTTCTATAGACCCAAGCTATAACCACATGAGAATTATAATCACCGAAAAGGTGACTAAACCGGATAATATGTACTTAACCCTGCGGCATACACTGTGTTTGCAAAAAAACATCGCTTCTTGTCAACAAAAGAGTGGCCAATAGTTTTTTTGTGTGTATATTGATTATCAAAGAATATGAAATTGTTTACGAAGATTGTAATATTTATGTTAATTTTGTAAATATCGATGCATTAACAATCTATTTTTCATCTGAATGTCTGCTCAATTGTTGTTTATTGAAATATTTTAAGAATTGTTCAAGTTAAGTAAAGTCAAAAGGTAAAGTTTGCCTGTTTCGTGTTAACTAAATTGGTTAAACTGAAAATAAACTGTGAAAAGCAATCGATATCGTTGCTAAATGACGAAATGAATTGGAACAATTAAATTGAAAACGCAATGCGTGCCCGCAGCAACAATAAACTAAAGCAAAAACAACAGCAACAGCAACAACAATTACAAGAGCAACAACAATTACAAGAAGTTGGCGCTACCGCATCGAATCGCAACGCAACGCAACGCATCGCATCGAGTTAAGATTCGAGCATGAGTATGTATGAATGTGAGTGCGAGTGTGTGAGTGTGAGTGTGAGTGCCAGTTCGATTCGTTTGAGGCGAGAGAACTAAACTACCTTGAACCCGTAAATGAACGCGTCGCGCTAGCCAACCGACTGCCAGATACGATACCTCAACAGAACAGTCTGGCATGGAACGGCGCCCGAGCAGGGACCGACACTTCGACTGCCGGGGCGGGCGGACAGTGGGGTAGGGAGGGGAGGGTGCGGGGTGTGCTGCAGTCAGTCAGTCGCTGGCAATGCAGTTGCACTTCGTGCCGTCCAAGTCGCTGTTGCTATTTGTGAATTATTGCGCTCCATTGGCAGCGCGACAGCGTTTGCAATTTATGCGTTCGTTGCCGCTGCAGTTGCCCCGCCTGCCCGCGCCAGCCCCTGCCGGCCCTCAGTCACAGTTCGCAGTCCCAGTCGCAGTTGCAGTTGCAGTTGCAATTCCAGTCACACTATCTATCTATAAGCACGGCATGTTTGTTTTATTCTCTGCCTCGCCCCACACACTCTGGCCGCCTTTCTTCTTCCGCTCCTCTTACAAATGTAATGAGCGCTTTATTTTTAAATGCGTGCGGCAATTTAAATGAGTGTTAGCAGATCCATTGGGAAGACGATCGTAAATGCTGAGCAGATGATCTCTAACGACAGGCAGCTAGAATTAATCACATTAACAGTTAAAGCTGATTTAAGAGTTGCATTAGTTAAAAGACGCTTAAAATCTTTGGGGTTAACTTTCGAGTGCTACTCTTTGGTTCATTTGCTTTCGCTCCAATTTACAATTCCCTTTGGTGCGGTCATCCTTAAAGGTTTATCTGGCAGCACATCTTTGCTTCAAGCCTCATTAAGACACAGTTGCTTAACATAACATATCATAACATAACGTAAAACAATCATGTTAATAAAATAACATTTAATAAATGCACATATTTAGCAGATTTCTTGTTGAAATAAAATTTAATATCCCATGGCAATGGGAACAAGAGCCCACACATTGAACATTAGAGTGCATTCAGGATTGTATCTTCACATATTTGAAAGGTTCAGCCAAGCAAATCGAAATGCACGCTTTGTAGCAGCAGACAAACTCCACCTACTTTACACCTGACGGGCGAGGCACAATGGACACGCAGTGTGGTGGCAGCAAAAGATACTAGTTAAAGATACAAGATACAAGCTAAAGATACAAGATACTCATATAAATGCACATGCAGCAGATACAATGATGCGAGAGATGGATGCCAGATATTAATGGCCATAAACGCCGCCTGTCATTGGCTGAAACATTGGTTGCCCACACGCCATTGAAATTGAAATAGAAATAGAAAAAGTGGCAAAAAACTAGAGCAGAAATCGTGGGGGGCGTCAACGTGGACGTTGACAACTTTCACTGCCGGCGAAGCGTGCACACAAATTGGCAAGAAATTCGCCAAGCCGTAAGAAATCAAAAAGTGGAGTAAACAAAACATAGGATATACATATATTTATCTAATAATTTTTCAATTCAAATGCGGCGTATTGTAAATGCAGCAAAAGGTAGATACGCGTTATCATAACAAACTAAACTCCAAGTTTAAAGATTTTCTTGGATATTCTTTTAATTATAAAACCTGCCTTTTCAATCACCTAAGAAATGTGCAGAGTGTTATAGAAAGCGCGCCATTTACTAGCAGTTCTTAATAACATATATGTTAAAAGAAGCGCTGTTAATAAACATATGTTTATCGATTGACTCTGTTAAGCAGTTTGAAGCCAGTTAAAATGGTTTTCATATCATTCATTTCATATCAAACACACATATTCCACTCCATTTAAAAATATTTAAACGAGCTCCAAAGTGATTCAGCTATTCCTTCAATTACCAGCTCCACTCCTAGCAGATCTCCAACAAATTTAACTTTCAAATTGATTTACAACTTCAATTTTTATGTAGCCAATTTTTTGAACTAAAAGCCAACGCAAACACACACACACACACGCAGGCACACACACACAAGTGCTCACGGGCCTATCTCTATATTCTATTTATCTGGCAGGGCAAAAAAAAAACTAGAAGCAGAAAACACGACACAACAAAAATTTGGTTTCAAGGTTAGGGTATACAAAATAACAAAAACAACAACAACAACGAAAAAATGGCAAACTTTTTGCGCCAACAACAAAAACGAGCGCCAAAAATTTAACGTAATTTGTGCAGTCGTCTAATTCAATACATAAAAGCTTCCCCCAGCCAGAGAGCGGGAGCTTAAGGGAGAGAGAGAGAGACGCACAGAGGGGAAGAGAGATTGAGAGAGAGAGAGAGAGAGAGAGCGCGCTCACATAAACTACAGGTAAAGCACAATTGTTAGATACGCCGCACGACCAACAAAAAAGAGTTGGAAAAAAAATGTGAGTCATGGAAAGGCGTCCAATTTTTATTGTTTCTTTTTTTAACCATTTTTTTTGTTTGCAAAACTCTTTGCCAAAAGCAAAAAGTTTTTGGTAGAAGAACTCCGCAAATACACCTAGGCAATGGGTTTTATGGGATTATCAGAAATTTGTGTTTGGCGTGTTGCAGATACAACAGCTTTGGGCCTGGACTATGTGTGCATGGCTTGTTTTAACCATTTGCTTTTTTGTTGGTAATCAATACACTTTGGCAATATTTAAAAGCTTAGATCTTTTATGAAAAATGTTGGGAATTTATTTGAAACAAAACAAAGTCTATAACATAAATTAATGGAATATATTGAGATTGTAATACCATCAAAAATGGGCAAATAAAAAAATATGTTGTAGAAAAAATAACTTAATAATTCGAATAACTAACTTTGGCCATTCTATTCAGCTATGTGAATAGATACGTTATAAATTTAAATAAATAAAAAAATATATAAATATATATAAGAAATACATTTGTAAATATATATAAATATAGTTAACAAATATATAGATAATAAATATAAAGTATTTGCAAACAAACATAATTTCGACTTTCTGTATTATAGATAATTATAAAGCATGACAGCTTAAATAGATTTTCTATGCTTATTTTTTAATATTTCTCGCAAGTCGTCTTTTCTTTAATGCATCTCGAATAGTTGCAAGTGTTGACTCAATTGCTTATTTCGAAGCTAGGTTAGGGCATTTGGTGTTCGTTATGTTTCGCGCTACCTTTTCAGCTCGCATTCTATGTAAATATCTATACATTTAATTAACGCGTCGAATTTTCGAACTCGACGTTCGGTGACAAACAAAAAACGAAAAATAAAAGGAACGAAAAATTTGTAGCCGGCTACAATTCGAACTGAGATCTCGTGTGATGATAGATGGGGTCTCGATTGGATGGCAGTTCCACACGCCACACATGCATTAGACTATTGCAGATGTATCTGTTAGATACACAGCACACACACACACACGCACGCACACACACACACACAGTGTAACACTTGGGGCTCACAATTAAGTGATTTTGCTTGTTTTGTTGTTGAACATTTTGTGGATTTTAGTTTTTTGTGCGAAAAATTTGTTGGTTTTTTTTTTGTTCACGTATAATTCATCATATTCCTTTATGGCCTGACATTCGCATACAGCATTTGTAGATACGCACCAGCACAGATTATACGCCCGCCCACCGTCCCCCTCTCTCACACACACACACACACACACACACACACACTAACACTAACACACACACCCAAAATAAACGAATTTAGCCCCAGGGGGAATTTTGCAAAAAAAGAAGTGGAAAAAAAATCGCAAATGATTTGTGGCAAATTTTTTGTTTCTTTATTTGCTTTTAGTTTTTGCGTATTTCGCTTTGCTCTTGCTGCTTGTTGTTGCTGCTCATTAGTGCCGTTTTCTATGTGTGTGTGTGCGTGTGTATGTGTGTGTGTGACTTCTCTTCGCATCCCCTCTGCTGCCCCCGCGTCTACACCTTCTACTGACTCTTTGCATTTTGTCAACTTGATTTACGCGCAAAAAATTTTCGGTTGTGCGATTTTTTTTTTTGTTCATTTTTTTTATTAATACTTGATTTCCTTTTAATTTTCGTTACGGTCCAGCAATTTTTTGTTATATTAATTTTAATTCGCTTTGCACTCACCTGTTTTCCACAATTGTTGTGTTCTTAAGTTTTCCCAAAAAAAATATCCCAAATGTTTATTAAATTTCCTTTTTGGTTTTAGTTGATTTTTAATGCTGAAAAGAAATGAGACACATATTTGAAAAGTTAATAAATATATTAGGAAATATATTAGAAAAAATTTAATCAAGGGTCAAGATTATTTTTGGATGAAATTTAAGCCTGAGGAAATTTAAGCCTGACTTTGAGTGAGTATATGAGAAACTCACCTTGAATAAAAGTTTTCTATAGTTAAACAAATTAGCCTGACTTTAACCTGGCTTTGCTTTAAAACTAAGAAGTGCCTAAGTCTTGAAGTTATGTTACCTCTTATCATTCGGACTACAAACACATTAATCCTAACTTTCTGAAACATATTCTAGGCTCTCGACTATTTAACACAGAAACAGATCGGATCTGCTTGAAAAATTTCAATAATATCGAATGCATTTGAAGTAGGAAACAGGTAAAGATACTTAAGAGCCTTAAGTTTGAATTGCTGTTTAAAGAAGCTATTTGGCTATAAGTAGAACTGGTGAAAGGAGCAACGCCCCAATAAACTTAGAGTTAACAGAGTGCATTAAAATCCACTTTTAGTTCAAATTAACTAATTGACAGGCCATAAAAGCAACTTGGTCGACATTTAACCGCCACGAAACACCCAACCCAAAAAACTATAAAACCAAACAAATAACAATTTTCGGGTTTCAGCCGGCGACGGCGACAACAACAACAGCAACATAATATAAAAACGATAACAACGATAACTTTGTGTGTCGCATAAACAAAAATACAACCAAAATTCGGACGCAGGCAGGTCTCCAGAGCAAATGCATATTTAGGATAGCCAGAGCAGGGGGCGGGGGGTGGAGTTTTGGGCGGACTGTATAACAGCTATATTAGCGCGAGTATACATAAAAATATATGCATATGTATGCATGTGGGTGTGTGTGTGTGTGAGAGTGTGTGTGTGGCTAACACTAACCTCAAAAAGTTTATTGCGCGCAGTTGCAGCGGCGTGTAGACAAAAAATTGCAAATTGCAGCGGCGTTTGCTTCACACAGACACACACACTCGCAAACACACGCACACACACAATCAAGCAAAGTCACACAGAGAGCAGCGAGAGACACTAATACACTAAGGCAACTGCACGTGCTCACAGTGGCTCACACACACAGACACACACACATACACGGAGAGTTACAGATGCAGACACCCCCGCGTACCGTTGTTGCCACAGCTACATCAAATTTTTATGCACACACACACGAACGCACACTTGAGCGTTTTTTTAGCTGCAGTTGCAGTTGCAGTTGCAAAATGCTGCAAACGTTGACAAAATTTTTAGATTATGTGCACTAAATAATTTTTAATCGAACTGTTTTATGTTGTTGTTATAGCTCTTGGCGGTTTATCGACAGCTGCAGCTGCTGCTTCCTGGCGTTGCGTATACGCCGCGTGTCTCGCACACAGTTCCAAAATTCGTTTGTTTATTCGAAATTCTTTTTGTTGTTTCGTTATTTTCTTGTTTTTTGTTTGCGCGTTTGTATTTTCTTTTTTCTTTTTTTTTCTTTCCTCAGCTTGCGACTACATTTTGTTTTTAGTTATTTTATTGCTGGCTATTTCCACGCAGTCTGCGCTCTATAATACAAGTACTCGGGTACTCTCTATATATAAACCGTGTGCAGCTTTTTATTAGATGTCGACGTCGTCGTCGTTGGCGGTCGACGACTGCAAGCGGCAGCGGCACAAAAATCGAACAAAATGCCCAAAAAAAATCGTAAGTACAATAAACCGAATCTGAATCCGAAACCAAAGCGAAGCGAAACGAAACGCAAAGAAACTCAGCGCAAGGCGCAGCGGGGCGACGTCGTCGTGTCTTTTTTTCCTCTTTTTTTTTTAGTCTGTTTTTGTGGGAGCGGAGCGCGCGCCAACTTTTAGCTATGGCTATGGCCACGGGTCTGGGGGTCTCTGGTCTCGCCGCCAACTACAAATATAATGTCTACACACAAAAAAAGCAAAACCAGCGAGCAGCGAGTAACGAGCGGCTCTCTCACCCTCTCTCTCTCTCACTTAACGCACACAGTCTCTCACTAACACACACACACACACACACACACGCTCTCTAAGCTTTTTTAGTCAAAACAATTGCAAAATTTTTTAACTTTTTGCCGGCGGGTCGAACCCCGGCCTCCAGCTGTGTGCTTATGTGTGTGAGTGTGTGCGAGGCACAAGTTTATTAGTGTTAGTGCAGTCGCTGCCAAAGCTCTCTCAGCTCGCGCTCTCGCCGCGCAACATCAGCAGTACGCTCTCCTCTCAGCTTGTGGCGCTCTGTTGTCGATTTTCTAATGTTGCGGCCCCATGCCGCTGTTACAGCGACGCCAATGCTAACGCTGACTGCGCTGCCAGCGCTGCTGTTTTTAGCGCGTGCTGCTACTGCTGCTGCTGCTGCCGCTGCCGCTGCTGCACTTCGTGTGCGCTTTCGTTTGCTCCGTTTGATTGTGTGTGTATAAAGTTTTTTTTATTCATCTCTCTTTTAGTTGCTTAATACGTCTGCTACTATTTGGGTTCTACGATTAATGCGCAGTTAAGACCGAAAAAGCGTACTGCAAATGACAGCTGCTGCTATTTTGGGAAAGGACAGCTGATAGAAGGATTAAAGCAACCACAACAACACATATGGCAGCTTTTAGAACACGTTTTTTATTTTTTAGGTTGATCAAGGATCTTTTTATCTAAAGTTTCGATTTTGTTGCAGAGCTGCTTTCTTATATTCCAGACAAATGCTGGACTTTCATAGTACTAAGATATAATTGTTTAGCTAAGCTTCACTTTGCCTGATCCAATTATATTTTCGTACAGAACATATTTGTTTTCGATTTAAACTTGAGTTATCTTTAAACTCAAAAAGTAAAAGATGTATTCACAATAGTTAAGTAAAACTCTCTGTCTGATCTGCTGGCTATCTCCCTCCCACTGCGCTGACTGATATCTTAGCCGCAATTCGACCTCAAGACCTGCTGACCAATCCCTCAATCGGCCCACACTCAACCGTTTAGGCAATCAGTTAAGAACGACACCCACAATGGCTAGTAAGCAGCTAAAAAACGGCTTATTCGTGTTGGCCCACAAAAAAAGAACGAAAACCTCTATCTTTATACTCCCCCCACCCACTAGCCCAGCCACGCCCACCATGGCGGAATTGTGGCAACGCCCACTCAGTCAGTCACTTATCGTGACCGAAGAACAGAAATTTGCAATTGTTCATTTGATTTCGTTGTTTTCCGGGTTGACGAAAACGTTGAGCCGCAGGAGGAAAGCGGGCTTATTCAATTCAGAGGGGTGCGGGCTAGATTGACAGGTGCGGTGGTGGGCGGTGCGGGGCGGGGCAGCGTGTGGGGGAAAGACACATGTACAATATAAAGTAAATTATTGTATGATGTGTATGCAATATTTTATAAATAAACAACCAATTTTTTTGTATAAACAATCAAAAAACAACAAGAGAGGCACCCGAAAAAAACAACAAAAACAACAACAACAATGCCAAATAAGTACGAAACAAGTTGAGCGTGCACAACGGCAGGGGGAGGGGGAGGGGGAGAGAGGGGAGCTACATGTAGATATGTGGTTATACAGATATATGTACATAGGTCAATTTGCTGGCAGATATGTAAAATATTAAAAAATAATATAAAAAAAGAAAAAACTAAATTATCTACAACAACTGCTGACAACGTCTCGTCGTGTCTTTTCTGCCGTTTTTGCATGTTGTTTACTTTCGTTTTGTTTCGTTTTTTATTTTATTTTTATTTCAATTTTTGGCAACGTTGCAAAAACAACAACAACAAAAGCACGCAGAACGACAAGTTTAAATGTGATTTCAAGACATGAGCAAAAAAATTAAATAAATTTAAGAAAGAACAGACTTCCTTATATACGACTGTAAAAATGCTCTAGCATGCATATTTAACTATTAAAGCTATGCAGATATCTGAGAATATACAACTGTTTATCCTGATTGACTGACTGACAGACAACCCGATAGACTGACAGTCTGACTGATTGGCAGACTGACGGATTGACTGACTGAGTGATTGACTGACTGACTGATTGACTGATTTACTGACTGACTGACTGATTGACTGACTGATTGACTGACTGACTGACTGACTGATTGACAGACTGACTGATTGACTGATTTACTGACTGACTGATTGACTGACTTACTGACTGACTGATTGACTGATTGACTGACTGACTAGCTTATCGACTGATTTACTGACTGACCGACTGATTGACTGACTGATTGACTGACTGACTGATTAACTGACTGACTAACTGGCTGACTGACTGACGGACTGACTGACTAACTGACAGGCCGACTGACTGACAGACTGATTTGTGATCAACGCACAATCCAATCTGTAATAACTACGATTCTGAAATATTACCAACCAGTTTTATAAAAGCGCACACTAAGGCGGGGAATCTTCCACGCGCAAATGTGAAATGTGGGTGGAAAACTGTTGTATAAAACTTTTTTGCTTAACAATCAATGGGGCTTTAACTCATTAAATAAAACTCTTTGTGAAAATGCATTTAAGCCGTGTTTCACTCTTTCACTCGCAAAATCTTCCCCCCCCCCCCCCGTGTGGAGAATAGTTATCAAAGGTTGCATTTGCGAAATTTTGCTTTTTGGCGTAAAGTTCAGTTTTTAAGCTCCACATTATTCAAGCACAAATTAACTGTAACAACGAACCGAAACCGAATTGCGCGCACAAATTTGATTCCAATCAACTGCAAACTCATTTAGAAATATCTATCCAATATATAATTTGAGGAGTGGAGCTCAAGGAAGTATGATTAGAATTGGTTGGCGGAAATAATATCCATTTAATATTTTAACTAAAAAACTGTGCCTGGGCAAAGCCGGCCTATATCCGCATAGTACTAAACAATATTTGTTTAAATATCAATGAATATTATGTTATTGAAACTAGATAGAGATTAACAACGGGAGTGCGCGACTAGGAAATACTCTGGTATATAAGGGACTTGCTGCTCTCACTTA